TAGGCTGAGGCGCATTACTAATCTATAATAAGATATTTAAAACAGAGTAAATAAATAAGTAAATAAATAAAGCGGAAATAGATATCATGGTTCAGCTTTATTTATTCATCTATTATTTAATAAGGTGTAGCCTCCCCTTAATTAGGTAATCCCCAAACAAATGAAAATCAATTGTGCACAACCAGGGCTGTGGGCACCACAAACGAAAACACGACAGACTGTACACGCGCGGCAACAGCCGTGACACGCGCACACTCGCTGATGCTGGTTGTTGGCTGCTGGCTGATAGCTGCATAGCGTAGCCCATTTAGGCAATATAACTGGCTGCAGCTGCTGGCTGGTTAGATAACGCTAGCTACCATCCACAAAACCCAGCGACGACAATAAAACCGGCCGGTCACCACCAACTGTCCACCAACTGTCCACCAACTGGATCAACATCTGCCAACCTCTTCCAACCAAACATATCTCCAACGGACAACTTCCACCATGACAACCATATTTCTCGACCCGATCCTCCATATCCTTGGACTCCCTTATTTTCCTGCTTTGAACTAGTCCTTCCGTTTGCAACGAATGTCGTGGTTTGAGCAAGGATGTCTCCCTTTTCATCTTTCTTTTGTGCATGGTAGGTTTGAAAGCAGAAGGGTGAGGAAAGGAAAAAGCCGCGGTGGCAGCAATCCCAGAGGTGAAAAGCCGCAGCGGCGGCAGGGAAGGGAAATGCACCGCAAGAACAGCAATTTGCGGTAGCGATGAGAGGAAAGGAAAAAGCCGCGGTGGCAGCAACGCCAGAGGTGAAAAGCCGCAGCGGCGGCAGGGGAGGGAAATGCACCGCAAGAACAGCAATTTGCTGTAGCGATGAGAGGAAAGGAAAAAGGCCGCGGTGGCAGCAATCCCAGAGGTGAAGAGCCGCAGCGGCGGCAGGGGAGGGAAATGCACCGCAAGAACAGCAATTTGCGGTAGCGATGAGAGGAAAGGAAAAAGGCCGCGGTGGCAGCAATCCCAGAGGTGAAGAGCCGCAGCGGCGGCAGGGGAGGGAAATGCACCGCAAGAACAGCAATTTGCTGTAGCGATGAGAGGAAAGGAAAAAGCCGCGGTGGCAGCAATGCCAGAGGTGAAACGCCGCAGCGGCGGCAGGGAAGGGAAATGCACCGCAAGAACAGCAATTTGCTGTAGCGATGAGAGGAAAGGAAAAAGCCGCGGTGGCAGCAACGCCAGAGGTGAAGAGCCGCAGCGGCGGCAGGGGAGGGAAATGCACCGCAAGAACAGCAATTTGCTGTAGCGATGAGAGGAAAGGAAAAAGACGCGGTGGCAGCAACGCCAGAGGTGAAAAGCCGCAGCGGCGGCAGGGGAGGGAAATGCACCGCAAGAACAGCAATTTGCGGTAGCGATGAGACTGAAGGAAAAAGGCCGCGGTAGAAGCAATGCCAGAGGTGAAGAGCCGCAGCGGCGGCCGGGGAGGGAAATGCACCGCAAAAAGGTCGCGGTGGCAGCAAGCCCAGAGGAGAAGAGCCGCAGCGGCGGCCGGGGAGGGAAATGCACCGCAAGAACAGCAATTTGCTGTAGCGATGAGACTAAAGGAAAAAGGCCGCGGTAGAAGTAATGCCAGAGGTGAAGAGCCGCAGCGGCGGCCGGGGAGGGAAATGCACCGCAAAAAGGTCGCGGTGGCAGCAAGCCCAGAGGAGAAGAGCCGCAGCGGCGGCCGGGGAGGGAAATGCACTGCAAAAAGGTCGCGGTGGCAGCAAGCCCAGAGGTGAAGAGCCGCAGCGGCGGCAGGGAAGGGAAATGCACCGCAAGAACAGCAATTTGCTGTAGCGATGAGAGGTAAGGAAAAAGCCGCGGTGGCAGCAACGCCAGAGGTGAAGAGCCGCAGCGGCGGCCGGGGAGGGAAATGCACCGCAAAAAGGCCGCGGTGGCAGCAACGCCAGAGGTGAAGAGCCGCAGCGGCGGCAGGGGAGGGAAATGCACCGCAAGAACAGCAATTTGCGGTAGCGATGAGAGGAAAGGAAAAAGGCCGCGGTGGCAGCAATCCCAGAGGTGAAGAGCCGCAGCGGCGGCAGGGGAGGGAAATGCACCGCAAGAACAGCAATTTGCGGTAGCGATGAGAGGAAAGGAAAAAGGCCGCGGTGGCAGCAATCCCAGAGGTGAAGAGCCGCAGCGGCGGCAGGGAAGGGAAATGCACCGCAAGAACAGCAATTTGCTGTAGCGATGAGAGGAAAGGAAAAAGCCGCGGTGGCAGCAATGCCAGAGGTGAAACGCCGCAGCGGCGGCAGGGAAGGGAAATGCACCGCAAGAACAGCAATTTGCTGTAGCGATGAGACTAAAGGAAAAAGGCCGCGGTAGAAGCAATGCCAGAGGT